CCCGGCGAACTTCAGGTTCTTGCCTTTCGTAAAACCCAACTCGAGTTGCAACCCCAGTGCACAACAACAGCAGTGGACCTGTGAAAATGTGAAGTTCGCCGGGATCCGAACTTCAAGAAAGAATGGAAAGGCGAGTTTGACATACAGCTGTTTCTCTCCCACGACATTTCGCCAAGTACGGATCCCAGCGAACTTCAGGTTCTTGCCTTTCGTAAAACCCAACTCGAGTTGCAACCCCAGTGCACAACCACAGCAGTGGACCTGTGAAAATATGAAGTCCGCCGGGATCCAAAATTCAAGAAAGAATGGAAAGGCGAGTTTGATAGACAACTGTGTCTCTCCCACGACATTTCGCTAAGTTCGGATCCCAGCAAACTTCAGGTTCTTGCCTTTCGTAAAACCCAACTCGCGTTCCAACCCCAGTGCACAACCACAGCGAGGGACCTATGTCATTTGATTGCTCGCCAACTATATTTACGAGTGTGAGCATCCCCGTGTGTGTCGTTTGGTATGTGCACGTGGTGTGTAGGGCGCGTAATGGATGGGACCTTTTCGACACCACGAATCTTTGAGTCGATCTTCTCGACACCACAAACCATGAGTCCCGAAACGCACATTCGCTCGGCAGAACCGTTTCCTCCTTGCGCGAGATCAGTGCGGCATTTCAACGGTGTGACTACGATCCACGGAGCGACCGCAGAGGACCTCGACGAGGACCCCTGGATGACCGTCGTCCCATGCAGGGACGCGCATATTGACGATTGCTGCAATGGGAATTGGGCCACGATGGAGAGTCGCTGCTGCCCTTGGGCAAGCCAGTACAAATTCGCCAACATGTTGGAGTTCGGGAACCTCATCCCGTTGTCTGACGCTGTCCTCGGACACAAGTTCCTGAACCACATGCGCAGAGCACTGGGCTGCATTAGCCACCATTTCAGCCGCCTCGAATGCCACTATGTGAGGTCGTCGCCACGAACTTGGGGAGGCTCGCGGAAACAAGAGTTGTTGGACTGCGCTCGTCACTGCTCGTTCCTGAACTACTACCCGCTCCGGTGCCCCGGGAATTCTCCACAAGCTGTGTCATACTGTTGTGTGCGATTGAAAGTGTCCGGGTCTGATTTCGCCAGAGTTCTATGTGTCGCTGTGTCGAACAAGAGCAGGAAACTCGTCGATGCAGTTGTGCTTGTATCACGCAACGAGGTGGTAATTGAGGGGTTCAAATTTGTGCCGACGCGCGGGCCTGAACGTGTAGATGGGTGGCGAGATTTGGTTATAGCAGGGCCGGTCCGAAACTTTTCATTGCATAGGGAGGTCGAGGAGAAAGTGTCCGTCATACGGGACTGTATAGGGAACTCCTTAGCACGATCGAGAGTGTTTGTTAGGATGAAATGCATGTCCGTCTTTTCGGAAACTGCAACGGTCGACGATCCGCTGGTCCGCATTTACGGATCGTCAATGAATGCTTTGTATGGCTACGGTTCGCGACCTCGTCCCTGCGGAACCGCAATTGTCACAAGATCTGGACGTGTGGTTGGACATCCTGCTTAAGCGAAAAGAAGGGAGACAAGTGAGAGGCTTGTGTGCTGCCGAACATAGCAGAGTTTTAGTAGTGGAGAAAGGCGCGGGAGGCAGCAGTTGCTAGTGCACGCCGTCTCTTTCCGTGTCGCGCCCTCTTGAAGTTCGGATCCCGGCGAACTTCGCGGTTTGGCCTGTGCGTCCTACCGGCCTTCGAGCTTCGAGTGCTGAGCGGAGTCGAAAACGGTCCTGCTACCAATTACGCATGGACTCAATGATTGCTGCCATCAAAACTTGCGGTCGGTTGTGGAACCACGGGGTTTTTCCTCGTGCGCCTTGGTCAAACACCGTCTTGCGTTTGGACTCGGAGTTGCTCCAATGTTTCTCTCTGTCTTTCTTTCTTGCGTCTTCCAGAAGTTCGGATCCCGGCGAACTTCAGGAGTCGCCTGTCTATTGCCACAGACGATGGTCTTCCGAATCCCTTGTGGATTTCGGCAACAGCCAGAGTCCAAGGACCTATGAAATGTTGACCCGGTTGTCGCTTTCGAGCTTGGGTTCATCTAGTGCCAAGTTGTGCATAACGCAAGATCGAAAATCAGAAGTAGTTCGGATTAGGGCGGACTTCTCCATTTCAACCAGCCTTTCATCCCGGTGTGGCCTTCCTGGGTCGGGGTTGAGTTTAACAACCTTAGACTTGCGGATCGTGTGTCCCTGACGCCGTTTCTGCCTGTCGCATCGTCCAGGAGTTCGGATCCCGGCGAACTTCACGTTTCGGGAGGTGCGTTGCTTTGTCGTGAGTTTTCGTGGTTCCGGGTGGGTTGCACAACCCGCCCGGCAACGGTTTCGGAGTGCGTTTGGTTGAGCACGGTTCTGGGACGCTGGCTCTATCTCACCTGGAGAGCTTCGAACATGACCGCCAGTTGATTCCTGCGAAAAATTTCCGGAATCTGCTTCCGCCGTCTCTATCTCACGGACCGTCCTTTAGTTCGAATCCCGGCGGACTTCGCGATTTTCACTGTGCGTTTGTCTATCTTTGTTCTACGGGGTGCCCCGTGTGCCTCATAAACAGCGCGTGATCCCATGCGCAATGTGAGTTTTCACTTGCTTCTCTCTCTTTGTCTGCCTCTCGGTCTCTTGCCCACTTGAAGTTCGGATCCCGGCAGACTACCCTTCTCACCGTTCCGGATTTGGGTGCCCGGGTGTCTTCGTGTGCGGCTTTCGCTGCGCTACAGCCTGCGTTGACGTGCGGCAGCGAGTGTTCTGTTTCTCTTGTGTTTTGACAGACGTTGACTTCATGGTGTGCTGTTCGATTTGCGTTGTCGTTCGCAGACAGTATGTCTTCTTCCAAGGGCGAGGTGAAGCCAACAGGGACCTCCGGGAAGGAATCACGAAAAGATTCCACGAGGCGGTCGTCTACTGCCACGCAGGGGTGGTCGAACCACTCGAGGTCGAAATGGTTCATCGACTGGTGCTGTGGAGACGCTTCCAACTCCACTGCGCAGCCATGTGGTCCTGTCATCTTCATCGGTGACAGCAGAAGGCGTAGAGTGCTTGGTGTCGTCTTGCGGTGGGAGGACGCAAAGGGGGGCCGACGACATTTCTATATGCAGAAAGTTTATGGCGCCAAGGGCAACGTCGTTGCCAATTCGAAAGGGACGTTGTTGGACCTCGAATTGTGTGAGGGGTTCGGAGCGGGTGCTGTGAACACCCCGTTCTACAGAGAACTCGTTCTCGGGGGCGGTTTTGTTTTGGCGCTTGAATTTTTCGACATGTTGGAGGACAAAAACATCGCTCTAGACGTCCCCTGGGACGTCAACCCATCCCTGGAGCTGTCGTTGCCGTTGAAGCTCTGCAGCGGTTGCGAGTCAAGCGGGGCAGCGGCAGAGGGCGGTGATCTGGGTTCTGGTCCCGCCACTCAGGTGCACCGTGGCGAGAGCCGAGGTCAGTTCGACGACAGCGAGGATGAGGGGACTGCTCCCCCGTTGAGTGACACGCGGCGGTCTGTGTTGTCTATTCCTGGGGTTCAGACTGATGCTCTGGTTCAGCGGAAGAGTACGGGGCCTGCAGTACAGGTGGCGGCCTATTCGGAGGTCGACTTGGAGGCGAGCGAGGGACAGGGTGTGTAGGAGGTGGACGCGGGAGGCCTAGGCTCGCAAGGAGCTCCGCAAAAGAGGAGGGGGGATAGTCCAGACGAGTTCGCCGGTTCTACGAAGAAGTTAAAGAGCAAGGCCCCCAGGACTGCGGGGGAGAAACGCAAGGGGACCGAGGGGGAGCAGGGCCGGCAGGTTGCCAAACGACCGTCTTCGAGACAGAAGCAGCCTGAGTCTGGACCGTCTTCTCCACCGACAACAGGGACTCCCATCGACGTCGACGCCGAGTACTTCCTCCAGTACAAAGACGACGTTCGGACAAAGCGGGAGTTCGACATTAGCCCTGCGCAGGTCGTCGACCTCGGGGATTGGGAGGACCTGTACAACCAGCGGTCCCTAAATCCCGTGCTCGTGGAAGGGATCAAAGAAGCGATGCGGTTGGCGTTCGAAAACAAAGCGCAGTCTTACGATTTACCAACCCTGAAACTGGCACCGCTAGGGCTTGATAAACCGACTCCGGGGACCAAGGCAGAACGTCTGAGGCCGGAGGATTGGAGGGATGAGCCGGCGGGACAATACTACTACTACGCGGTGTGTGGGAAGCACAACGCAGCTGCAGCAAGGTCGCTGCTCGGCAGCGAGGTGGCCAGGAAATACAATTTTGAGCGGTGGCCTGCACGAATGGTCTACTTTTCGGACGACGACTTCGAAGGGTACTTCCTTGTCAGTTCCCGGGACAACAAGGACCTGAAGGCGCCCCCACGACAGCTGAAGCTGTCAATGAGGGACATTAGGTGGCAGTGGAAGCGCGTCGGTTGCCCGCGTGCTGTTATGGGGAACCCCATCGGAAAACAGGATCAGGTCCGGAAGTGGCGTGAATTCTGTAATGTCGCACTCAACATGACACCGCACAACAACTTGTGGATTCTCGCAGATCAGCAGGGCGAGGAGGCCATCAGGAAACAAGGCGCTGCCTTGCGTTCCTATTTCCCGCTGGCGATGGCAGGGGAGAACGTCTGGAAACTGGCCGTCGAGTTTTTCGAGAAATGGGAGACAGGCAGATTGCTCGGACACGACGGCGCAAAGTGGATCATGCGGAAGAAGAAAGTCAAAAACGTGAAGCCTGGGGTTGGATACATCCATAATGACAAGCTGGGCAGGAAGGAGGTCGTGTACAACATCCCTGTGGACCCACCGACAAAGAAAGGCAAAAAGGAGAAAGAGGAGGGCAAGTGGTTCGTTCAAGTGCCAGAGCCGGACGCGCATTGTTGGAAAACGATGGAGTCGCTGACAGACAACGAGAAGTGCCGCATCCTGAAGAAGGTGCTCGCTTGCGAGGTGGTTTGGGTACAGGTCGGCTCCCCAGCGTTGGCGAAGCTCGGAAAGCTGAGCGTCCAGGAGATGGTGAATTTGGTGAAGTGCGACCGGGTACTGGTGCGTTTGTGGAACTACTACCAGTTCAAGCACGACAAAAGGTCGGACGCGGATTGGAGCCAGAGGTTCCCGTTCCTAAAATCAAGGTTCGCAATTTTCAGACAATTTGAGAGTCGTGGTTTGGATGCTGAGTTGTGGGATGGGAGCACGAAATACGTCACTGACTCCTCGCTGTTCAAGGACTGCCCGCCCTACATGGGCTGCGACGACGATAGATCGATCGAGGCGACGAAGAAGCTGGCCGGTCACAAGAAGTTGTCCGTCGACTGGAGGAATAAGGTCCTGTCCGTGTTGACTGGCAGTAGACTGAAGAGTCGAGAGATCGCGCTCGCCGAAGGCATTGTGCACATAAAATGGAATGACACGGGCGACGTGACATCCATCACGCCATTCTGCAACGACCCCTTGGAGGCAGACATAAGGAGTGCGGAGGTGAAGGAGGCAGTGGTTGCCACAAAGAGTCTCGCGTTCGTCCTCGATCTGTGCGTACCGGTGGACCTGAAGCTTTGGAAACCGCAAGCGTTCGACACTCTGGATTCCCAACTCTAGACGTCGTGTCCATCGCATTGGACGCTCGTTGTTTTTGTCCCGCGGCAGCAGAACCTCTCCTTTTTGGCCAGCATGAACCATATTTCTTTCGTCAAGCTGCTGGAAGGGAAGTGGGTGAGGAGGAGTCAACAAAATAAAAGTTTCCCCGTCGGGAACAATTTGTACACGGAAGACGACCGGATGTACATACTCTTCAAAGGCGACGATTTGCGGGTCAACACGTCCGTCGTCTACGAGGGGAAACTGCCGGCAGGCGCCGCTGCTGCAGTGCGGGTACCACAGAAGGTTACGCAAACAGATGTGTCCGACATCCCGTTCAACGCTTGCGACTGGTCGCATACCTCGCCTGCACGTCGGGGCATTGTGTACGGGGACATGGAACGCAACCCCGCCCAATTCGTTCAGCTTCTCGAATCCGTCACCAAGAAGGGGGAGGGTGTCGTCTTCCTCGGGAAGCCACACATGCGCGGTCAGTCTGGGAAGTACTGAAGGCAGGACGGCACGTCATCGCGATGGAAGGGAACTCCGAGCTCTTACAATTTACAATTGATCTCGTCAAAAGCGAGGTCAATTCGGGTGCCCACAATTGCGAGTTCATGGTCGTCACCGAGACTCGGGCCCGCGCGTGGAACAACAAGTCGGACATGTGGTTCAAGTTGAGTACGAGGAAGCGGAACAAGATATACGACTTGTTGTTCCTGCAAACGCGGCCGAAGAGAAACACTGATGCCGAGTACGTGCGCCGCAAGGACCACATGTTCACGTTGCTCGACAACTACCACGGCGCCTCCCGCATGAACGCGAAGACCTTCCTCGAGAGGTTGCAGTCCCTTTACTTCGTGGAGTCAGAGGAGGAGCTGATGTTCGACAGTTACTCCTCCTTGATCTCCACGGAAGACGAGGAGACCACCGACATCGAGTTCGACGCGACCGCGGACGAGGAGGGCAGCGACACCGAAAGCCTCGATCTGCAGTACGACCAACATTTCGCGCAGCACGCTACAGGGTCGTCCTTGGCAGGTCTGTCGACAAGCCCAGCATCCCTCGTGTCACCGATGGCGAAACCGGCGCCTGGCACTACCCCGATGAAGTTGCTGCAGAGAATGCAATCTCTGGCCTCCGACCATCGCTCACTGCGTCCCGAGTCTGACATCCCGCCCGATCATCTGTCTTGGACGAATGCCAACATTCACTTCCTGCCTGAGCCTCAAAGTCGTTCCACGGAGGCGGACTGGGGCCATGACATGATTTGGCATCCAGGAGTCATCCAGCCGGCGATCCAAAATGGTGAGTGGATCGTGGCGGTCGCTGTCCCGGACGGAGGATGGATGCCACTCCCTCGCGGGTCGAAGTCTGACTTCCTCGACGTCGCTAGAATTGCGGTCCTCCAGAAAGTGAGGGCCGAGAATGGCTCTTTCGCACGCGAAGACGTGTCCGTCATTTCCACAGTCGGGCGATTGTTCGCCGAAATTCAGGATAAGTACTGGTTGGAGCTGATGGAGGACTACTACGACCTCGACACGAGCCCCTTGAAAGGAAGGGTGGACTGAAAAATCCCCCCTCCCAGTGGGACGCATGTAAGTACAGGGTCCCGGGGACCGGACGGTGGGGAGAACGAGGGCGACGAGGCTGGGGGCGGCAAACGAGTCCCGGGAAGACAACACGAGGGCGACAAGGCTAAGGGCGGGTCTCAGGGCGACACCACGACAACGGAAGGCAGCGGCGGGGTGGCGGGGGAGGCCCTCGGGCGTCAGCAGTCTACCGGTCCCGGTCCGGAATGCTCGGCACAGTCGGAGGACGTGCCCAGTTCATCCGCCTGCTCGGTGATGGCGGCCTTGGTTGCTCTCCGTGCCGGCTCGGTCGAAATGTTCAAGTCCGCCGGGATCCGAACTTCAATGCTTGCAGAGCGGACAGAGAGGACGGACGCGCAGAGCTGGTTAGGACCGGGGGTGGCGAGTCGTCATCCCAAAATAGACAGCGGTGCGGTGAGGGACGGGACTTCGCCGCCTGCGGGGGATCGCCAACCGCTTCGGTCGGAGCGAGAGGGTGCGTGTGGAGGGCCCGGCGACAGGGAGACGGCGAAGTTCGCCGGGATCCGAACTTCTCCAGGCAAGGCGTGTGTAGGGCCCGGCGACAGGGAGACGACGAAGTTCGCTGGGATCCGAACTTCTTCAGGCAAGGCGTGTGGAAGGCCCAGCGACAGGGAGTCGGCGAAGTTCGCCGGGATCCGAACATCTTCAGGCAAGGGGGGCCAACCAGGGATATTGGTCCAGGCGGGAGGGGCTGCGTGCGGCGGGCGGGAAGCGCATTCATCGGAAATCGACACGGGTTCGGGCGAAGTGGCTGCATTGCATGCAGGGGAAGAAGGCAGGGTGATGGACAAAGAGAAGGAAGTGGAGGACGGAGACACAGGGGAGGAATTGGAGGAAGGAGGGGAGGAAGGGGAGGAAGAAGAGGATGAAGGAGGGGAAGGGGAAGAAACAGAGTTGGCTGGGTTGCTAGGAGGGCAGGAGGGGGGAAAAGGTGAACTCGATACAGGAGACAACGAATGGACTTTCTGCGATGACGATGACAGATCTGGGGAGTCTTCTGACGGATTCGGGCAGCTGTACGGAGAACACCGCGAGGAAGACGACGACGACGATGACACGGCACTGGGTATGGAGACACAGGTGGTCACAAGCCTTTCCGCAGAACGTGATGACTATGAGGTCCAAGCAATGACGTCTGCCGTCGATCTCCAACACCGGTTCAACGAAGCTCGTGTAGCAGTCAGCCTGACTAAACCGAGTGTGCGTATTGACATCGAAGAAGTTATCGACGACATCCTGGACGACCACCACATGTCCGCGCAGCCGTCCTCGACGCCTGGTGTCGACGACCCTCTCGACGTCAAACCTTCCGGGGGATCTGTCGTCGATTTCTCGCCGACGAGCTCTCTGATGCTGCCGCCGACCATCGCCAGCGGAGGAGAACGCGGGATCGGGGGACGACAAGATGTCACATCCCCGAAAAAAACTGCCGCCGGTAGTCGAGCTCTCGACGTGCTGGCCTTGCCCGCGCCAACTTCGTCGATTAAGGAGCGGAGAGACAAACCAGCTGGTAAGCAGTGACAAACGCCACTCTGTCTGCGCGCCAGTGACCACAGTGTCTGTCAATGCGCACGAGACAAAAACATGTGTGTTTTCGTTGAAGCGTTCCCTCACACGAGTGGTGGTTTTAGTCCGTCGGGATCCGCACTGCCAAGGCCGCTGCGTAACGCGGTTACTTTTTTGGTGCCTCGATTGGGAAAAGTCCGCCGGGATCCTGACTTCACAAATGTTTGGCCTCCGGGTTTGTGGCTTGTTGAGGTTTTCCCTTCTGAAGGGTGGGGGTGTCGATGTCGAACGCACTGCTCCTTTTGTTTTCCAGCGGGGCCTGCGCGGAAGTATTCTCTACCTCTCTCATGGCTAAACGGGGCTCTGTAAATAGATAGGTCCTGCGTCTTCTACATTTCGTGGTTCTTGAGTTGTCGTTTTCGTCGGGTTTGTCTTGGATTACGTGAGTTCATTTTCCGTTTTCTCTTCCTTCGGTTGCACAGGGGTTGGGTCATCTCCATGGGTTGGAAAAATCCGTCGGGATCCGGACTTCAGAGATGTTTGCCTTCCGCTTCTGTGACTTGATGTGCTTTTCCCTTCTGAAGGGCGGGGATGTCGAGCTCGAGTGCACTGCTCGTTTTGTTTTGCAACGTGGCTCGTGCGGAAGTTCTCTCTCTCGCACTCTCATGGCATGACGGGGTTCTATAATTGCATGAGTCCTGCGTCTTTTAGATTTCGTGGTCCTTTAATTGTCGTTTCATCGGGTTCTTCTTCGGAAACGTGTATTCACTTTCCGTTTTGTCTTTCTTTTGTTGTACAGGGGTAGGGTCGTCTGGAACACGGAGGCCCTCTAAATATCTGGAACACATATTGCATACAGTCCCGGGGTTGACGACAAAACACAAGGACATGTTAAAGGCGTCAGGGGTTGATATCGAAATCGGGAAGAAGGAGCATGTCATTGCCATTGAGGAGTGTCTTTCCCTTCTGCCCCCAGAGAAAGGGACATATCCACGATCTGTAACTAGGGGTCAGGCCATGTATGAGAAATACTTAGCTACTCGTCGTGCGATGAAGGAGAATCCTTAGTGTTCCGTTTCTCACTTCCCCCCCCTATCCTTTGCTCGATGTTGTGCAGTGCGGGCCACGACACCTGGAACAGCAGTGACTGCGATTGGAAGCTTGCGGGTTTTGGACGACATTGAACGAGGCTTGGTGCCACCTGACACTGTACTCTCGACCCTCCACGATGGTCAGTTGCGAATTGCAAGAAGGATATTCTCACCCTCTCACTTACCGACGGCAGGGTGAATGATGAGGTGGTCAACTTCTACATGGCGCTATTAGGAACGACCGCATATGGGACAATTGACATCCCGCCATGCCTTCGAGTCTTCACCTTTAATTCTTTCTTCTTCAGTATACTGCAACTTCAAGGGCACGGCGGGGTGGAAAGATGGGTTAAAAACGTGGATCTGCTTGAATATGATATTATCTTTGTTCCAGTCCTCAAAGATAATGATCACTGGATCCTCCTTTCCGTGAGCTTGAGAGATAATGTTCTTGATATTTTCGATTCTTTTCCTTGCGTTTAGCCGATTCTAGTTTTTACCTTAGTGTTTTCGAGTTGATCGTACACTATTTGGAATGTCAAACATCACATAGGCGCTCGTGCAGGCGCTGGAAGTCGGTGGCAGCAAATGTTGTTATAGAGGGAGTTCCAAGACAAGTGGATGGAGTTAGTTGCGAGGTGTTTTGTTGATGTTTGCGACACTGTTGCAACGTGGCGATCGACCGCCTTTCAGGTTCTCTTGTAAAAATATTTTGTATATTAGACGACAACTTGGAATGCCGTTGTCTTTGATGGATTCGATTGATTTGCAATCTTCTGTTTCAGAATATTTCATATTTTAACTGTCGTTTTCACAACGACATTACTTTCTTTCAGTGTTGCGGGTTTGAGTTGATTATGGTATGTTGACTGCCAGTTTGGTGTCGCGTATTGCCTTCGGAATCTATGTCAGGTCCGGCTCGTCTGTCGTGTCATTACATTCATCGCATTGCAGTCCTCGTTGCAAATTGTGTCCAAGTCATCCAAGGTTGTGCATATAATTCACCTTGAAATGATATTCGTGTGTGTGGTGCGACATGACAAATTGGAGTGTGGATGCAAGACAAATCTCGGCGAGTGTGTGGGTGTGAGGTTCGTTATGCAAAGAGTGAAAGACCAGTGACATCACGTCTCTTGTGTGCATAGACAATCATGTACTTGTGACCGCCTGAATTACATGTGACCGACAATTTTGCGTTCTTGACCGGSAAAAATAAATTGTATGTCAAAAATAACAGTTACTGTTTGTACTTCTAAAGAAGTCTGAATCTCTACAACATCCAGACAACCGCCTCGGACGAGACGATAGCCATGCATGTACAACTCACGCATAAAAGARATAAATAGTATTATCCAACAACGATTCAATCATGACAACTTGCTCATCACATTCACAAACTTGAAGTTTAACAAGTGTGGCTCCCGACACACTATCGCACAGGCATCCCGGATGGGCGTGTCTGTCGCTACTCTACGTCTTCTAATATAATTATCCAACGAGGATGCAATCATGACATATTGCTCGTCACAATTATGAAATTGAAGTTTAACAAGTACGGATCCCAACACACTTTCGCACAGGGTTCCCTGATGCGCGTGTCTGTCGTTATTCGTTTATGAAGTTTAACAAGTGCGGATCTCGACACACTTCGGCACAAGATTCACGGCACATTTCTGAAGTTCAACAAGTGAGGCTCCCAGCACACTTCCGCACAGGGTTCCCTGATGGGCATGCCTGTCGTTATTCGTTTATGAAGTTTAACAAGTACGGATCCCAGCACACTTCCGCACAAGATTCCCAGCAGTGCCATGTTTTTGAAGTTCCGCAAGTAAGGATCCCGACACACTTCCACACAAGGTTCCCGTGCGGCGTGCCTAACATGTACGGGTTTGAACACGCTTCCTCATTTGGGATATCATTTATAAAGTTTCACAAGTACGGATCTCAGCACACTTCTGCATGTGCTTAAGCCGTGGATGGACGTGCCAACGTTGCTTGGAATGCAGCCAAAAATAAATTCGTTAGAAAGAGGACACAGTATAATGTCCTATTTTAACGAATAACATGTTGTTGATTAGACGCAACCCTCAGTAGGGTTTTCGCCCGAGAATGCAAGAGTGATTAAATCTGTAGTACTGAAAGCCCTGCGCATGCCATCTGCCTTATGCTGCACGACATCAGCAACCGAGCCACAAGGCGGCCTCGAGAAACAAGGCGCCCTGGATCAACGCCGCGTTGGCTTACTAAATCTGAGTCGCGGGTCAGTCCCTTAGTTACATGCATGATCAAGCTGATGAATGTTTTCTTTTCTCTCTCTCTCTCTCTCGTGTTGAAAAGAAGTGATTGGTGGTTGCGCGAGTGTTTTCTTTTCCTGATGACCACTCGGGATTTTTGCAATTGATTGATATGTGGACTGACATGCACCCTTCGATCGGGCGCCAGCCTCCCGTATCTCCCATCTCAACACGGCCTTTGCCCTACAACGAGGAAAGGACACGTGTATGCGAGTGGGACGTACGAGAACCTGTCGCACAAATCGGCGGATGATACTACTTCCCTCTGGCCAACCGTTGTTCATGGTTCGTAGAGGCTGGGTTTGTCATTATCGATACGCACTTTCCACCTTACTCGATATTCTTGCCATTTAACGAGTTGATCGTCATCCCGTGGACGGCAGTAGAACCCCATTGGCCGCGCACCCTATGCACCGAATGCCAGCGCTTTGAGCGCTACGAATCCAGGGGTTTCCACTACCGTGTGCGGAGTGAGGACGAACATAGAGAAAGAGCCACGCGATTAAGACCCTCCACGTCGGATTCAGAACTGGTCAGTGAGCGACGACGGGACTTGATACGAAAGCGAGACACGCGAAGCGTGCCGAAGCCCTTCTGTTCTAAACGACGGGCCGTAGCCAGGTGGGAAGTCCGACAATATTTCTTGGATTGAATTTGTATTTCTCACTCCTCTCGTGCCAAACTTTCGCGCGCGCAATTAGCGTCGCGCGAAAGACGATCGACTTACTTCGTCGGACCAACACGGGGGATTTCAGTTCCGTCTGTGTCCCCACACTCAATTTCCAAAAATCTTTGGTAGTGGTTACGAGACTTCGTTCATGAGGCTGAGGGTGCCAGTTCGAGGCCGTGCGTGCACGGCGGGGCCTGATGCCCTTAACGCACGTTGTTCAGTAAATACTGTGAAGCGCCTGTGGAACCCACGGGCAGGTGGCCCGTCTTGGAGTGACCAGGTTTGAGTAGCGGTGGTGGGACTGCGTGTTGTCTGAGCAGAGTGTGTTGATTGACGTGTCCGTGGTGTGGKGTTGTGTGTGTGTGGTGTGAGTTCAAGGACGCTACAGCCCTGGAGGTGGGCTGGATATCACGACCGGAATGGATCCAGTTTTTATAACACCTCCAAGGGTTGTAGTGGTTACGAGACTTTGTTCATGAGGCTGAGGGTGCCGGTTCGAGGCCGTTCGTGCACGGCGGGCCCTGATGCCCTAAACGCACGTTGTTCAGTAACTACACCCCATCTTGCTGTTTTTCTGGGCCTCTTTCCGCACATCCAGCACTCCGAACGAAAGACAGCACAGGGCGTGAGGTTGCGCGTCACAGGTCGCTAGCCAGGCCATCATCAGGGGTCAATCGTCGCGATGGAGGAGGCCTAGGACAGTGTTGACATCTTCTATTAGTCCTAATGCTAGACCAATGCTCCGCATGAAAAGAACCCCACCGCACCAAATCATCCACACCGTGTCCAAGAGAAAGAGCCGGTTCGAGGTAGAGACAACAAGTCAGATAGCCCTAAAGAACGTCTATATTCATACTAACTATGCAGGAACCTAGTACTAAAAATTGTCCAGACGCAGGCCAGCAGAGAAAAAAGACTCCAAATAGACTCAAAAAGATCCAGAGCCAGCAGGTCAGTTCCCGACCTCTCGTGACCACGCCAAGACGTAAAGACGCGGCAGAATCGCCCAGAATCC